GGCTGGGAGTCATCTATAGAGTTTGGGGGGTTCCATGGGGCTGGAAATGCTCTATGGGCCTTGGGGGCTCTATAGAGCTGGGGACTCCATGAGGTAGGCAGTGCTCTATGGGGCTTGGGGAGCTTTACAGGAATGGGGGCTCTATAGGGCTGGGAGTGGTCTATGGACCTTGGGGGGCTTTATAGAGATGGGGATTCTGTGGGGAATTCTGGGTGCAGTTACCCCTACCCAGGGCATGGCAAGCACTATGTGGGTAGAAGACCACCCTCAGAAGGGCAGAGGCTCTTGGGGACAGCTCCTGGCAGGGCACACAGACTCCTTCTATCCAGGAGGCAATGGGAAACCAGCAAGTCCCCACCAGCAGGGCTGTTTGGGGTACTCCATGTCCATACCCTGATGTGCTTCATTCTGGGAGCAGTAATTAATTGCTTGCATGAAGGGCAGAGGACATGTTAATTGCTTTTGCCAGTGGTGCCAAGATTGGGATGTGGAGGGCAGGGGAAGGGACTGGACTGATTCACAGACAGGGTTCAAAACTCCTAAAAGGGATATAAATCCCAAATCAGCCTGAGAGCTCCACGTCTGAACAAGGCTGTGTCCCTTGTTCTCAGTGTCAGCACTCAGAGTTCTGTGCACACCACTTGCACCTCCTGCCTTAGTGCTTGTGAGAATATCAGTGAAGTGTTTTGAAAATTACTTTATTTGACAAGTAAATCATCCTCCCTTCCCGGGGTCCAGCCTCAAGGGTCACGAAGGGGCAGCAAGGACAACATCCCACCACGGGAAGATGAGAACAGCTGGGCAAGGAAGCAGCAAAATCTCTTTACACCAGTGAGCCCTGGTGGCCAAACCCCTTCGGCAGGGGAACAGCGTTGCTGTGGGGATGCAAGGAAGGAAACCTGACAGAATCAGGGAAAATGCCTGCTTCACAGATGGTAAAGTAGAGGGAAGCAGGAAAAACAGTGTGCCACAGATGACCCCATAGCAGGGGGCCCAGCTGTCCACTCTGAGCCCTTTCTGGGTCTCGGACCCTGAGCTGCTCCCCTCAGAGAGCAGGAACCCCTGCACATCCAGCTCCATGCCTTGCCCAGCAGCAGGGAAGGAAAGGGGGGGTCAGGGATGGGGTCATGGATTCCCACTCCTGCCAAGCACTGGGATGCTCAGCGCCTTGGAGAGCTGCTCTGGCTCTGCCTGTGGGCACTGAGCACACTGGAGATTTGGGGCTGGATTCTTGTCCCTTATTTATTTCTCTCCAAGCTTTCTCTCACCTGAATTTCCTGCCCACCTGCATCTCTGCTGCCTCAGCAGCTTCCCATCCCACTGAGGCTTTGGGAATGGTCACGTACAGAGCTGATCCTTGCCCTCAGCACTGCCACATTCCTGTGTGCCTGCAGGTTTTCAGGGATATTGAGGAATCAATACAGGGAGTGCCTGGAGAGCCAAGGGATAACAGGGGGAAGAGACTTCCTGCCCATCACACACTCCCCAAGGAGGGCAGGCTGGGGAGGAAGGGCAGGGCCAAAGAAAAGGCTGGATCAAGCAGCAAATTCCCAGCAAGAAAACAGGTTCAAAAACAAGGAAATCAATCCACAGGTCCAGTTTAGGGTCAGTCTGTCAGTGGAGTCCAGACCAGCTGCAGCTGACCCAGAGGCCAGTTCTGACATAGCTGAGACTAGAACTGAGACCCCTGGGCTGAGCTTAAAAAGAGCTCCTGGGCCATGGGCAGGGGGGGTTGGGGTCCCAAGTGGGGTTGGTGAGGAACATTCAGGTTTATTAATGCCCTCAGAGTCCTTACAGCATCCCTCTGCTTATCATGCTGGAGCTCTGCAAAGGGATTTGTCTTAGGAAAGGGATTTTTCCCTTTTCTTTTACTGTCGGGCTATTCAAAACGAGGATTATCTTGAGCTCTGTAATTTTCTGCTTACGGTAGGGATAAGAACTCAGCAGAGAGCTGGTGCCACCCCAGGATGCTCCAAGGGTTCCTCTGGCATCTTGGCACAGCCCCTGCACCCTGAGCTGCATCCTCAGGGCGCTGCTCCTGGGAAGCAGCAGCTCCAGGACCCTGACTGGGATGGGGACAGGGGATCCCTGCAGCTGTGGCATCCCCGAGGTCCCTCTGCACCCCTTTTGCCAGGGTTACAATCCACCCTGACATCAGCCCGCTGCCCAGTGCAATGTGATGAGAGGCTGAGACCTGAGCCGCGCCGATGTGACGCAGAGATGGGCGAGGGCACCGAGACTTTCCTTGTATCGGATGCTCCCACTTTCCGTCCTGTTCCCAAGCAGGGCCACCTTGCATGAAAGAAAATATGGAGAGGGCAGGTGGAGGACAGGGGCTCAGGTTACTGCTCCTCTCCAGCTGCTCTGATCTCTGTTAGGAATATGTTTCTGGGTTTTTTCCCCACTTTTCCAGGTTTGTCTGGGCTCCGTGCTGTGTCCAGCAGACCTCTCCATTCTTGCCACCACCAGCTCTCCTCTTGGCTGCTCTCCCAAGCAGCTCTTCCAAGCTCACACCTCCTGCGGGGTTGGGACCAGGCAAGAGGGTCCCACGGGGATATGGAAATCCTCTGGCACTGGAATGCTCAGAGAGAAACTGTAATGGGAAAGGGGAAGCAGAAGCCACTCCCTGGGTGTGGGTCCCACTGTAACCAGAGTGGCTGCTCAAGAAGGATAGGCGGACAATACTCAGTGTGTAATTCCTTTACTCTTATTTTTTCATCACTCCTGCCTTTCCCATTTGCTTCTTCTCCATTTTAAAGGACTCCCCATTCTCTTTTCCAGCTTTTGTTTCCCTGACCCCCCGTGGCTGGAGCTGTCTGTGCCTTTGTCCCCCCATCCCTGCTTTTCCTCTCCCACCCCACTGAGCTCATTTCAGCTTTTCCTTGGCTTGGAGTAACCCATCCACTCTGTTGTCCTCCAACAAATAAGCTGACAGGCTAATGAATAGCTTCAGATGGTAATTAGCAACGGAGTTGCTAATAATGAATTTCATTTACATTTTAAGCGCTGCAGAGGGAAAATAAGCCCCTGTCATTAATGCCCTCCCTGCTCCCAGCACAGCCTTGGCCTTGAGGGGAATGCACCCTCTGTGGAAGCCTTTCTGTGATTGCACCTCCATTTTGGAGGCTGTGATAGGCAGAGTTCATTAAGCAGCAATTAGAGATGGAGGGGGGGAGAAGCTGCTGCTGCTTCCATCATCTAATGGTGGGGAAGCGCCATGATGCCATGGAAAATGGGCCACGGGAGGCAGGAGCTGATTCTGGGCCAGGAAAGAAGGGCTGGATGGTTCAGGCAGCACCAGGGATTCATGTGGCTTGCCCAGAGCCCTGGAGCTGTCAGCCCTCTATGTCCCCATAACGCTCCCAGGCTACCTGGGTAACGATCCTGAGGGATTTCTCAGTCACTAAAATCCTTCCCCATTATTTCCTCAGGGGTTTAGCACATTTTGAAGGCAGGAATTTCCCTGTGCGGTTTAATTCATCCCTGCCTGCCCAAGGAAGGAAGCAAGTGCCTTCTGCATGAATTGTTGTCAAATGGAAAGATGGAGAAATGCCATTGTTTTGTCTCATACCAGTGAGGGATCCATGGTGGAAGCACAGGGAATAGGTTTGCTCACTACTGCAGAGCACCAGAAGGGACTTGGCAATGCTCAAAGCCTGGATCTGGTGCTGGGGGTGAGCCTGGGACCATTGCCTGCCCTGCCTCAGTTTCCCTCTCTGTGCCCAAGGAGCCTCAGGGAGGGTTAGATGGATTGGGAAACAATGCTCTGCATCTACAGGGGTGTTCCAGCACACTGCTTGTTGATGGAGGACCCCATCCCATCCCATCCCATCCCATCCCATCCCATCCCATCCCATTCCACAGACCCACCCATACCCCAATCCAGTGTTTGGATCAGGGGGTGTCCAAAATCCACCCCATTTAGGCAGTGGTGTCCACAAAAAGCTGCTTTGGGGGCCACAGGGATGTGGGATCCTCCCTAGATAGGAGGTGACAGCCACATCCTGCCTTCACCTCCATGGACATGGGATTTTTTTTTTTTCAAGCCCTGCTAGGAGTGAAACCAATCCAGGGGCCTCCAGAGGCCGATAAGATTTGACTGCAAGTCAATACTCACATGTCTTTCCACTGTGCAATGATCCCCCGGCCAGCGGGGCGGGAGGGGACAGGCAGGTGACAGGGGCGGGCAGAGGGCCAGCCTGGGGCAGGGACGTCTCCTCTGCTCTGGGAAGGGATTGGGGGCAGGAAGGGGACATCTCCTGGCCTGCAACAGGGATTTTCTGGGATTTGTTGCCAGTGCATGTAATGGTGAGCCCACAGTGGGCAGCTCCACATTGGGAGGTGAATGAGGGACAGGGACTGGGAGAGCAGCGGGGAGAGGGATGGGGAAGGAGGAGGAGCAAGGGAGAGGGAGAGAAATTGCCCGTGAAAACCAGCTCTGCCACGGCATCTGCTCCCCGGAGCATTGGGATTTGAGAGGTTTTCCTGCCGGCAGAGCCGGGGCTGAGGCTGCGGGGTGCTGGGGGGAGCAGAGCCCTGGCACACTCAATGCACGCTCGCCTGCGATGCCATCTGCCAAGGCTTTCTCCTGGCTGCGTGTTCCAGTGGATTCTCTCATGGCTAATAAGGGTCGAGCTCAGACTCTGAAGTACTTCCCGAAGTACCTGCTGCATCTTTGTGCCATCCCTGGGCACAGCGTGGCTGGGATTCCGCATCCCTCTGGGAATGCTGCAGGGCAGGCAGGCAGGGTGACATTTGCGGTTAGCAGAGGGTGTCCTTGAGAGGAGCGAGCGCCGAGAGAAGGGACCAGGTTCTCTTTAAGGGGGCAGGACTTTGGGAACATTATGAAGGCAAGAGTGAGCTTCTCCCTCTGCCTTCCACCCTCCCCTCCTTCCCTTCTCTGTTCTGGGACAGAGTCCTGGGCTCCCTGCCCTCCCCTCTGCCTGGCAGGGATGAAGACAGGAGCTGGGTGCTGGGATGGGCGGCTGAGCAGGGGAGGAGGAGGAGGAGGGGAGGAAGGGGAGGGAGAGGGGGAGGATCTGCTAATTACACAGAACAGCTCTGGGGGCTGCTGAAGTCCAGAATGAAGCAAAGAGCAGCAGAAGCGAGTGCTGCAGTGGGAGCGGAGGAGCCCAAGCATCACCGAGAGCTGGAGCCAGCTGTTATCCCTGCTGGGAGCAACTGGGAGCACCCAGGGGATCCTGCAGCTCTGTCTCCCATAGGAGACAGCCTCTGGCACTGCCACCGAGCCCACTGCCAGCCCCCGGAGAGCCGAGGAGAAGGGGCTGGTGGTTGCAGCACGCAGGGCTGGGCTGGAGGGCAGCGAGGTCAGCCCTGCTATGGTCGCGGGGGGCTAGGAGCCTGTGTGGATCCACCGGGAAGAGGTGAAGGATGGCTGCCGAAGGAGGGAGAGCCAAGCCCCTTGCCCAGTCCAGGATGGAGAACTTCCGAAAGGTGAGGACCTCGGAGGAGGAGATGCCGTTACCCTTCCCAGACCTGCCCCCGGACGTGGTGGAGATGAAGGTGAAGGAGGGCAGCAAGATCAGGAACCTGATGAACTTCGCCATGGCCCAGATGGAGCTGAAGGGCAGGCGGCAGATCGTGTTCAGTGGCTGCGGCAGGGCGGTCACCAAGACCATCACCTGCGTGGAGATCATGAAGCGCAAGCTGGGAGGGCTCCACCAGGTCACCAAGGTACGCTACAAAACCGTGCTGGAGGTCTGGGAGAACCAGGACCCACCGCCCGACGGTCCTGCACAGAACCTGACTGTCCACAAGAATGTCCCCTCCATTTGCATCCTGCTCTCCCGGGACCCCCTGGATCCCAACCAGGCAGGATACCAGCCCCCCGAGCCCCGGCATGAGGTGGGAGAAGACACATTGGGATCCTCCACCAAGGGGCTGAAGCGGCCGCTGCCGCCTCCCTGCGAGGAGCTGCTGCCCAAGAAGACGCAGGTACAGGTGTCTGACAGCCCCAGGGGCACGGGGACCAGCGCTGGCCAGCAGGACCACTGACCCCAGTGCCTCCCACCCCACCAGCCAGGTATCGAGGCAGGAATATCCACTCATTCCGGGGTCACTGGGGGGCTGCACGCTCCCCCTGACCTGTCCCCACTTGCTGCTCCATGACCCCTGTGGATGGGGGTCCCCAGGTTTGGTGTGAGGGTTAAACCCACCATGGCTTGGTTATGGATTGAAGCAGGTGAGCATGTGGGGGGGGAGCTGGTGACCTCTAATTCAGCCACCCAGGGACACCGTGACCAGCAGCCACATTCTGCAGCGACTCCCAGGGAGCCAGAGCAGCCGAGGGGTGCCTGGACCACCACCAGCACTCCCCACTGCAACACCTCATCCATCAGGAGAGATGAGTTTGCCCCAAGCTTGTTGGAATAAAACCTTCATTATGAAACCCGCTGCTGAAGAGCTGTTGGAGTTAATAATACCAGGCTCAGCATCCTGTGAGGCCATGATTCATTCCAAAAAAACCACCCAAACAAGCATAGGGGGGTGCTCCCTTCCTGCACCCTCAGAGCCAAGCACTGCACTGTGCTGCCTGCCTGTGGCACAGCACAAGGAAATAAAACAACTCGCATCAGATACTCTGGTCTGGAGTGGGGGGAAATCACGGTGCGGGGAGCTGGGGGCAATGGAAGCGTTGGGCAGGGGGTTATTGTGGCTGGATGCAGTGCCCAGCACAGGACGAGGAGGTTTTGGGGTCGTGCCTTGGCTGCAGAGTGCTTCAGAGCAAAATCCCTGCTACTTCCAGGGGGGAAAGAGAAATGACTGGAAAATAAAAGCTCTTTAAAAATACTTGAGATATGTCTATGGGAAAATGGGGGGATCATCCTGGCTGCTGGCCATGGCGTGGATCAGCACAGCGAAGGCTGCTGCCAGCTCACAACAAGGGGATCCCAGCCAAACTCTGTACCTTAGAAGAAGGGGCTTGGGGTCTGCTGTGCTGGCACAGCAGCACCTGGCAAAGCCCCAGTTCCAGTGGGGACAGGGGACATTTGGGGGATGGGTTATGGGATGCCAAGCCCTGCTCCACCTGGTTCCCTCTGCCCAGCACCCAGCAGCACTGCAGGATGAATTAATCAGTATTAAGGAGCAAACCCTTCCCAAAATCCACGTGTAAGGGATTCTCTGGCTGCAGCTGCCTTATCTCCCTGCCTCACTCCCGCTCTACAGGGACAGTCAGTGTTCTCTCTTTGTCAAGGGCTTGCTTGGCTGGGAGCGGGAATGAAAGGAGAGGAGGAGGAGGAGGAGGAAGCAGGGTCTGTTTTGTGAGGCAGTGACCTTGTTATCTCCCTCAGCAGGCAGCTGCTCCTCGGGCCAGAGGCTCGTGCTTATCTCTCCTACTGCAGATTGATTCCCTTCACTCGAACATTAATTTCCAACGGTTTTTTTATGTTTGTGATAATTTTTTGGTGCGTTTGGGGATGGTAAAGCTTTGGGCTCTGTCCCATCCAGCTCTTCCCACTTCCTTTCTCCAGTGCAGACCCCATTCAGGATCAACCCTCCACCCCACACAGGAACAGCAGGTACAGGCACCTACCCCAAATGCATTAAAAATCATTAATAAAATGAATTCTAATAAAATTAATTAATAAATTCCTCTGTAAACACCCTGATCAGAGTCTGAAGACTGTGAGAGCCACACAGTTAAACAGACAGCCCTTCACCTCCACTGCTGCCACCTCACATTTCTCTGAGCAAGGAAATAAGAATAAAAACCACCTATTTCTCCTTATTTTGTTAATTCGCAAGGTCTTTTTAATGGATTTCATAGGCAGGTAGTTTCCAATCACAGAGGCAGCACTGGGGATTTTACCCTCCTTGCTTGCTTTGTTGGCTGGGGACTGATGGCTTCCTGCATCATCCTGCAGAGAAAATAATAAAAAATGACTGTAAAAAAAAAAAAATTAAAAGATAAGTATTTAAAACAGGATGATCACCCCCAGCCCGTCCCCGAGGCCTCCCGCCCTCTCACGCTCCCGCTCCGTCCCCGCCGCGCCGCCGTACCCGCCTCAGCGGCGCCCCCCGGCCCTCATCTCCGTCCCTCCCTCCCGGTGCGGTGCGGGAGCCAGCGGCGCGCCCCCGGTTCCCGGTGCTGTCTCCCCCCTTCACAGCCCGCCGCCATGCTGGCCGCCAGCGCCTCTCTCCTCCGCCGCTGCGCCGTCTCCGGCCTCCGCGCCGCCGTCCGCCGGCCCGCCGGCCCAGCAGGTGAGCGACCGCACTCGTCTCCGTCCGTCGCGGCGCGGTTCGCGCCCGGGCTCCCGGCGCGGCGGGGAGCGAGGCCGCGCGGCCCGGCGTGTCCTTGCGGTGACCCCGCGGCCTAGCGCGGGCCGCTCCCGCCGCCTCCGCCGGCACCGGCACCCCCCTGCCGGCACCGCCTCAGCGGGCACCGGGCACCAACCGGGGGCTGCAGCGGGGGCGGCGGCGATTTCCCTGCGCCCCCCGCCAAGGTGACATTGATGGAGGGCGGCGGTGACCTCCGCAGCACCGGGGCGCCGAGTCCGCCTCAGCTCCGCGCCAGCCCTCCCGCTCCTAATTAACACCCCAATTAATTTTATTTGTAATATTAACGCCCCAGTTAATAGAGAGAGTAGGAGGACCAGCCGCAGGCAGCGTGCTGTGATGGTGGCCAGGGTGGCAAGGGCTGGAAAACGGAGGCTGCAGAGAATGCACTGCCTGTTCATCGCAATTAATAGCTAATTAACTTCTGCATCGCAATTAATACCTAATTAACAGACACTCATAATGCTCGGAGACTTGTGTGTGCCTCTGCTGCGGCACGTGTGAGTTAAGCAACTGCCTTAGGGAGCTTGTCGCTGCGTCTTTTTAAATACTAAGCACTTTTTAATACTAAACACTTTTTAAATACTAAGGATTTCTTAGATGCTGCTCAACACCCTTGCTCTTTTGTTATTTTAAATCCACTAAAATCTTTGCTCGCTGTTCCCTTGAGCTGCCGAACCCCGGCTGCTCCTGGGCCTCGTTTTTGGTAGGCTCTGTGTTCTTCTTTGCCAAGATCTTGTGTTTCAAACAGCCCACTTAACACTGCTGCCACCCCTTTGCAGGGGGGTTCTGTTGCTGCAGAACCTCCCCTGTGTAATCCCTGGGCTCCTCGTTCTTAGATTTTCAGTAAATGAATGTTTTTCTTCACGTGTGTTTGTCTTCTGCGCTCGTTAGCGGAGAAACCGCCCAATTCCGGCCCTCACAGAGAAGCTCTAACGTGGTTTTTGTGTCATATTAGGTGATTTTAGGCTTAGTGCCTGTTGAGTTCGCTTTAAAGCAAAGGTGCTTGCCCTTTGGTTCTTCCTTGAGTTGGGAATCTCTGCCTGGATAGGTTGGCTGTCACTCACACGTCATGTGTGTGACAGTGACCTTGATGGACCCTGCTGGAACTCGGGGCAGAGGGACTCTGCAGATACAGATGTAAACATGAATGTGGAGAAGAAGCAATTGGGAAACACACCCTGGAAAGCCAGAGCTTTCATTCTCATGGTCTGTATTTGTCTCCTGGATCCAGAGAATGGCTTTGTTGAGAAAAGACTTCAGATTTTGACTTAAAGATGGCATTTGAATGCTTCAGTTTAGGCTTTTCTCCAGCTGAGGTTTGCTGTTTATCTGTAGGATTTTTTTCTTTTTGGGTAGGAAAAATAAGGATTTTCCTTCAACTAGCTGAAACCTGGAAGGTTTTCAGCAGTGTCCTGGGAGCAGGAGCATTTCCAGAGCCCTGCTCTTGCTCTGAGCTCAGCTGTGCAGGTGATTTGTTGCAGAGAGCAGGGTCAAAGGTCTGCTTTGGAGCTTGGGAAAGGAGGGGGAATTTCCCTACAGGAAAGAGCATTTAAATTCTGTCCTGGCCTGTTGTTTACTTTTCCGTAGCTAAAATAAATAAAGCTATTCTCATGCTTCCATTGCATAAACCAGTATTGCTGCTGAAATGTTGAACCGGGTTAAATTTTGTTAAAAAAGCAAATTGCCTGCTAATTAGGCTGCCATTAATGAAACCAAAGAGAAGTATATCAGCAAAAATACAACCCACTTGTGGTGTTGGTTTTTTTTGGTTTTGTTTTTAAAGAAAACCCTGTAGTTGATCACTGTGAGTGGTTCATGCTGGGTTAAGAAAGAAAAAGTCAGGAGCTAAATTTGACTTCTGTGAAGCAGAGCTTTGAGCTCCAAGGTCGTATCTGGTGTGTGACCTCTCTGCAAATATATTAGTGGAGTGAGATTAGCAGTGGGGAAAGGAAGCACCAGGCTTGTGGTCCTTCAGTTTAGTTCCCTTAGAAAACTGTTCCAGCCTGTGTGGGATAAAAAAAGACAGGTTCATCCAAAAAACCAGCAATTTGTGATAGTGCTGAGTGAAGAAACCAATTAATGATCCTATCAGACTAATTTGTGCATTAGCATACAATCTGCTTTTTGTGATTAGTTATCCAATATTAATGCAATTGCAACCTTGAGATGCAGGAGTTTTCTCTTGGGTAGACACAGTGATAATTTTTTTCCTCCTCCAGCTCTTCTGTTGGAAGGAATATCTCTCATCCCTTTGCTTTTGAGACCCTCTGTAGGAATTGCATGGAATTTTGTTGGTGAGGAATGTGCATGTTAAAGCTTCTCAGTCTCACTTGGCTGTGGGAAGAGGGACAATTCTGTATTTTACAGAAAAAGGAATGCCAGAAAACCTCTTAAGGACTGGTGTCCAGAGTTGGTTTTTGTGTGTCTTGCCCCTGCTCTGAGCAGTGCTCTGGGAACACTTTGGAAGTCTGATATAGAAAAAAGTAGACACTTTGCTACAACATAAACCACAGTATTTAATAAGTTACATCCACCCAGGGCTCATCCAGGACTGACTAACAAGGGAAATCCATATTTTATGGCTTCTGGCCTCTTGGTCAGGACTAAAGCAGTGTTACCTTCTTTTTGCTCCAAGTTTGTTCCTTTTTTCCTCTGTTCAGCTGTGCTTCCTGCCCGCTGCTACTCTCACGGGTCACAAGAGTCTGATGAGGAATTCGATGCTCGCTGGGTGACGTACTTCAACAAGCCAGATATCGATGCCTGGGAGCTCAGGAAAGGTAAGTTGGAGAGCAGGGAAGCATAACGTGGAGTAAATAGAAGATTTCTGACCAGAAACAACAACTTTAGTTGGCGTTTTGTAGGCTCCCCATCCCTGGAAGTGTCCAAGGTCAGGGCTTGGAGTAACCTGGTCTAGTGGAGGTGCCCATGACAGAATGGTGGCCTAGATGATCTCTGAGGTCCTTCCAACCCAAACCATTCCATGATTCCAACACCTGGATGGAAGGGAGAGTAGCATTTGCTCCAAGGACAGTGTGTTTGAGCTCTGTTATACTCATTTTTCTTTGCACTTTGGCTAATGGCTTGGCCATTACTCCCTGCAGACTTTTTGTCTGGCTGTCTCCCATTGTTTGCTGTGGAGTTGCCAAGTTTCATTAAACTTACCCCATTTTTGGGGTGGTATAGGGCTGGGAGTGTCTGTAGGGCAGTATGAGGTGTGTGCATGGAGGGGATAGGACTGGGGTGTGTCCATGGGGCAGTGTGGGGTGTGTGCACAGGGGTTATGGGGCTGGGGGTATGTGTAGGGCAGTGTGGGGTAGGTGTGTGGGGCCGTATAGGAGCAATACAGTGGGACAGTTCATCTTTTAAGGCCAATTAGGCCTTAAAAATGGGATTTCATAAGCAGATAATTGCAGCCAGAGGGATCCTTCCAGCAGCACCTGGCTGACGAGGTGCTGGTTTTTTCAGTCACAGAGGAAGGGAGTAGACAGCAAGGGGTTCCTTTTGAGATCATGACAAGCTGGTCCCAAGTTCCCCTTGGTGTTTCCTTGTCTCCACAGGCATCAACACACTGGTGGGCTACGACCTGGTCCCGGAGCCCAAGATCATCGACGCGGCTCTGAGGGCCTGCAGACGGTTAAATGACTTTGCCAGTGCTGTCCGCATCCTAGAAGTTGTAAAGGTGGGTGGAACTGCCCTGCTCCCATTGCCAGAGCCTGGCAGCAGGGCAGTTTTCACTGCTGCAAAGGGAAACCGCACTTTCCTGCTGCCAGAATCAGTGGCTCCATGATGAGCACGAAGCTTGCTGGCTTTTTGAGGGACTGAGAGAAGTAGCTCAGAAAGCTCTCTTGGGGAACACCTGACACCAGCCCCTTGAAACCTGAATCCAGCCTGGCCAGGGAGCTAAGAGGAGCCAGGACTTCTATTTCAGCCCTAGAGGCCAGGAGCTCTGCTCTCCACAGGCGAGGGCTGAAGTGGGATTCTTTGGAAATGAGTGTTTTGAAGTAACTCCATTCTTGGTGTTTTTTTTTTCCAGGACAAGGCAGGGCCCCACAAGGAAATCTATCCTTACGTTATCCAGGAGCTTAGACCAACTTTGAGTGAACTTGGAATCTCCACTCCAGAGGAACTGGGCCTGGACAAAGCATAAACCTTGTTGGTAAGGTTTGATGTTGCTTCCCAGACCCCTGGCATGGGACTCGTGTACAGCAAACCCCCTGGCAAAGACAGCACAGGCAAGACCTAGTGTGCCTTAATCCCAGACTAAAATAAAGCCCTAAATAAAAATCCTCGTGGAAGTGAAGCCTCTTAACTCACTTTCCTCAGGTGATGACCAGTGTCATATTCTTTTTTTAATATTATGCTTAGAATAGAGATACTATGTGTCAGACTGCTGCAAATAGTGCTTGATTCTGGATATTTTAAGTCCTTTTCCTCCTCCTTGCCCTGGGATACAATGTCTTGGTGCCAGGGGTCCTGAATCAGCTGTGCTGGGAATGCAGTACCTACATTTTTGAGCTGAGCATGGTTAAACAAGGCTTTGAAGGTAACAGGCATGGAAATAACTCATTTGGGACCTCATGCAAACTTTGTGCAGATTCTAGGCTGCTTCTTTAATGGCTTTTTTTATTTTTCCCCTGTTATTTTCTATGCCAGGTGGATCACTCAAGCGTTCTCCTGATGCTACCAGATTGTACACCGTCACCTGGAGAGACAAACTTTAAATCTTACCTGGCATAACTTCTTCCTTTATTGAGTCACAATGGAAGTGCCATGGAGTTGGGCCTAATAAAGGAAAAACTGGTTAACTGATGTGGTACCAGTGCTTTGTGTGGTTATTTCCTGTGGCTTTTGTAGGGAAAAAGAAGGAACAAACCATAAATGTGCTTGTAGGAGCTTCTGAGTTGTTACTTCCTCTGCAAAGCCCGTGCCCAGAGCCTTCCCAAGCACGTGGCTCTGGGAGGGGAAGAGAAGGAGCTGTGTGGAGAGCACGGTTCCTGTATGCACAGCTTTGGAGGGAGGCACTTCCCTGGGACAATGTCCAAAGCCTCAGACCTGGGCTGGGGGCTCCTGTCTGCAAGGGTCGTGTCCTCACGGGAAGGGGATCTGTTCTGGGATAGATAATGTCCCTGTTTTCCACTCAGCTCTGGCACAGGCAAGGGTTTGGGAAAGAAAACAAACCAACAGAAGTGGGTGGGAGGAGAAGGGAACTACTAATTCTGTTATTTTCGTCCTAGAAGAGGGGGATTTTCTGGGAAAACAGGAATTTGTTTCTGCACAGTGGCCTCAGGGCAAGAGCCGTGCAGGGCAGGATGCCCTGCTGTTGTGTCCCGCAGTCCCATTCCATCCCATCCCGCTGTTTCATCCATGGTTCTGCCCCACAGTCCCGTCTCCCATCCCTCTGTCCCGTCCTGGTGCCCCATCCCGCAGTCCCGTCCCGTCCCGCAGTCCCGTCCCGCAGTCCCGTCCCGCAGTCCCGTCCCGCAGTCCCGTCCCGCAGTCCCGTCCCGTCCCGCTCTCCTATCCCGTCCCCCCGCAGTCCCGTCCCGCAGTCCCGTCCTCCACTCAGCTCTGGCACAGGCAAGGGTTTGGGAAAGAAAACAAACCAACAGAAGTGGGTGGGAGGAGAAGGGAACTACTAATTCTGTTATTTTCGTCCTAGAAGAGGGGGATTTTCTGGGAAAACAGGAATTTGTTTCTGCACAGTGGCCTCAGGGCAAGAGCCGTGCAGGGCAGGATGCCCTGCTGTTGTGTCCCGCAGTCCCATTCCATCCCATCCCGCTGTTTCATCCATGGTCCTGCCCCACAGTCCCGTCTCCCGTCCCGCAGTCCCGTCCCGCAGTCCCGTCCCGCAGTCCCGTCCCGTCCCGTCCCGCTCTCCTATCCCGTCCCGCTGTCCAGTCCCACTCCGCATGCGCGGCAGAGGGGCGCGCCCTTTTCACGCCTCCCATTGGCTGAGCCCCGCCAGCCCCGCGCTGCCATTGGCGGGCGCGCCATGGGGCGTGGCCAGGGCGGCCATGGCGACGGGCAGCGGCGGAGCCGGGCCAGGTCCCGGTCCCGGTGCCGCTGCCAGCGGAGCCGGCGGCCGGCGGGGCCCGGGGGTACGTGCGGTGTACGGGCGTGCTGGGGGTGCGGGGCTGGGAGGTGAGCGTGGGGCTGTGTGGGGTATGTGCATGGGGCTGTGGGGCTGTATGGGATATCTGCATGGCGGGTATAGGGCTGTATGGGATATCTGCATGGGGCTGTGGAGTGTGTGGGATATCTGCATGGGGCTGTGGGGCTGTGTGGGATATCTGTCTGGGGCTGTGGGGCTGTATGGGGTATCTGCGTGGGATATCTGTATTGGGATAACTACATCGTGGGTATGGGGCTGTGTGGAATATCTATATGGGGCTGTGGGGCTGTATGGGATATCTGCATGGCGGGTATAGGGCTGTATGGGATATCTGCATGGGGCTGTGTGGGGTATCTGCGTGGGATATCTGCATTGGGATAACTACATCGTAGGTATGGGGCTGTGTGGGATGTCTGCATAGGGGCTATGGGGCTGAGGAGAGAGTGGGGCAGTGTGGGGTACATGAACAGGGGGCATAGGGCTGGGAGTGTCTGTAGGGCAGTGTGGGGTGTGTGCACAGGGGTTATGGGGCTGGGGGTGTCTGTAGGGCAGTGTGGGGTGTGTGCACAGGGGTTATGGGGCTGGGCTATGTCCATGGGGCAGCGTGGGGTAGGTGTGTGGGGCAGTATAGGAGCAATACAGTGGGACAGTTCATCTTTCAGAGTTGCAGACAGGGAGGCACAGTACCGTATACAGTGTGCAAATATAAATATACAAATAAATAAATAAATATGTACACACACAGAGGTGTATCAGCACAGCATATGCTGCCTGGGAAGGGGTATGGCACATCCAGAGGGATCTGGGGCGGCACTGCCTGCCTGGTCATTCCCACTATAAAGCTCTGTCCTGCTAATTCCAGTTTAAGACACTGAGGCTAATCCTGGCTGTGCTCTCCAATCACCATCCCCAGTCCTCTGCCGTGTTCCTTTAATTCCACGTCCCTCCTGTGCCAACTTTCTCTGATTTTCCCTTTATTTTTTTCATTACTTCTTGTGTTTGTGAAGGTTTTTTTTCCCCCTTGCTCTTAGGAGTGTTGGTTCTCCTTGACTATAACTGGATAAAAGCAGAAGCTTGGAAGGCTCAACCCCCAAATTAAAACATACAATCCTTACATTTGTGTTTGATTAACCTCTCAGGAAATCTCCTCCACCACCTTTTCCCAAGTATTACTGCAGCCAGGCTTGCACAGGAACTGATGGGGACTACCTGTGCTTTTAATTAGCATCACCATTCCCAAATAATCCTTTCATCTGCTAACAAATCTGCTTATTCCTTTTCCTCTCCCTCCTCCTGGGCTGGGGAGGAGGAGCTGTCCCTGGAGACAGATTTCCCTGGGGAAAGATTTCCCTGCTGACCTTCAGCTTCCAGGAAGGATTGGATGCTCTGAGGTGACTCTGCTTTACTTCATCCCCGTGGAGAGGTGCTAAATGCTTCTTCCACTCTTTTTTTTAGCTGATTTGGGCTGAAAAGAAGAGGCTGAACAAAGGGACAGATGTGGTGGAGAAAAGAGGTCCATACATCATGAGCAAACCTCCCTCCATTCAGGCCAAGCTGAGTAAGTGATGCTAGGTGGACTCTGCTGGGATTTTGGATGTCCTTTCCACCCCTCTCCCAGAGCTGGGGTTACCAAAATCCCTTTTATTCCTTGGTGGGATAAAACCTTTATAAAACCCCATTAAAAACCCATAGAGATGCATTTGGGAAAGCAGTGCACTGCACCCTCACTCACCTGCACTACCCATTTCCCAAAAGAAGAAACCCTTTGGGAGCACTTGGGGATTTTTCTCTCTGTCCCTGTGCTTGGCTTGCAGAGAGGCAGCGGGAGCTGGCAAAGGCAGCGCTGCGAAGGCAGGGGCTGCTGGGGGCACCCACTGCCCTGAAACCAACTCCTAAAAGGTCTGATCCCCTCTTCTTGTTTTCAAAATGTGCTTTTCACTTTTCTTCGGGAGACTGGGACACTCAGAGGATTAAAAATAAAAGTTTGGGACCTTATTTTGCTGGCTCTGTTTGGCCAGGAACACCAGTATAATGAAATATACTGCTTTTCTCTTTATATTGGGGATGATTTGGTGGTATGGATTTATTTGGATATCCTGGGGTTTAGCTGGGTGGGAAGGAGTGCGATTCCTGCCCTGGCTCCTCAGCCTGTCAGCTCCAGGGATGTGTTTGCACATAAAACATCTGTGCTGTGTTTCCTGGCAGGTCTGTGAAGTTCAACAAGGGCTACACGGCACTCAGCCAGACAGCTGATGAAAACCTGGTCTCCCTTGACTCAGACAGGTGAATATCCCAGGGTTTTGGGTAAATATCCCACGATTTTGAGGGTGGGGGTGCTCCCAGATGGCTTTTGGGGGGGGTTGATTTTCTTTGTCCCTTGTAGAGCAACCCTGATGGCACTGGGCACCTCAGGGCAGCGAAACGCTCCTGCTGGCCCAGATTTGAGATACCCCTTTGGGTTGCAATGCCAGCTCCTTTTTTTCCCCCAAATTCCCCTTATCTGCACCCTAAAATCCCCATTTCCTGGCCAGCTCTGTTTCTTTTTCCCCTCAGTGACGGGGAGCCAGGATCCAGGTGTTCCTCGGGATACTCCTCCGCTGAGGCAAGTGCAGGGCTTTGACTCTGACACTGTGGGGGCCCTAGGGGCTCTCTCGTCCCCCTGACCCCTCGAGGCTCTGGCTAGGGGCTGGAAGCATCACCCCAGGGGGTGTGGATGTGTGTCCATCCCGCAGAGCTCTGCTTTGTCCCCTGCAGCAGGTGACCCAGGACCTGAGCCGGCAGCTGCTGCAGGATGGGTACCACCTCGACGAGGTCCCCGATGATGAAGACCTGGATCTCATCCCCCCAAAACCTGCTGCCTCCTCTTCTTGCCCCTGTTGTTTTGGAGAAAATCTCTCCTGTGTGATCCAGTAGCTGCACAAGAACAGGTGAAAATCCAGCACTTTCTTTGTCCCGTGAGATGGCTGGTGCATGTCCGGGTCCCACACCAGGACGGTGACACAAGGACTGAACGATGCTGCTCATGGCAGAGACCAGCTGACTCCAAAAGACTTCTCCTTACACTCAGCAATATCAGGGGGAGGCGGCACAGTGACATTTCGGTGGCCTGCATGGGACCTGGCACTTGGCTGGGGTGGGAAGGGAGGACAGGCAGGGCCTGGCACCTCCACAGGGGTATAAAGGGAAGGATCTGGGAGTTTCTGGGGTTGGAGCTAATGGCTTATTCCCATTCTCCTCAACGCTGCTTTGATGCAGGTGAGGCACAGCCCAGGCCCCTCGTCCCAGCTCTGCACAGGGCTTGGCTTTGGGGGGCTGGAGAGCCTCCCTGCTGCAAACCATAAACGCTGCCTTAAACCATGGTCCTGCTCTATGGCATAGAGGACAATCAGCTTCTTACACAGAAACCTTATTTAAATATTTCATGTCAAGAGACATGAACTGGTTGGGTGGGGGGCATGTTTGTTTGTTTTTGTATTTTACTTGTAAAAGGGAGCACTCAATAAACTGGATCTCATTACTCAGAAGGGGTGCTGGTGTTGTGAGGGGGACTTTCTTCCCTCGTCACATTTTACTCCTTTCCTGTGCCTGAGGAGCAAAGGGGGGTGGGTCACAGCCACAGTCACAGTTGGAGGGATGCTGGAGCTGCTCCCAGCCTCTCTGTCCCCCTCCATCCTCCTGCTCCCTCCACCACGCTGCCCTTCGCCAGGGACAAAGTCACCTCTTTATTCACAGCAGCAGAGGCTCTCCCCTCCATCATCCCCCTTTTACAGCCAGGGAAGGGGGACACTGGCTGCCATCAGCCAGGCTTGGGAAGAGCCCACCAGAAGCAGGAGAGAGCAGCCTGTGGTCTGCACCACATCCAAGGAGTCGATCCATGGAACTGCTCTTTCTATACATCAGGGCTGGTTTGGGGATTTCATAGCTGGAGGGAGAACTTTCAAGCGAGAAGACTTTGCCCACACCAGTTTCTATCTATTCAAACATGGAGTGTTGTGGATGAAGTGTCCCAGGCCCTGCTCAGAGGAGGCAGCAGGCTCGGAAGAGCAGCATCCCGTCGGGCGAGGACAGGTGGAGGGAGATGCTCTCGTTGGCCGAGACGAAGAGCACGGAGCCACGGTGCAGGGACATCTCGGAGGCTGCGGCTGTGGAGGTGCCCACGGCCGTCCCTTGGATCACCAGCAAGATGCTGGCAGAGTCCATGGCAGAGATGAGGTACAGCTTGATGGAGGCAGGGATCTGCCAAGGGAAACGTCACTGTGCTGGAGTCTCCCTCAGCTTTCCTCCTCTCTGGAGAGCTGGAAGGGGGTTGTCCCCATTCCCACCCCTTTGCTGTGCCTGCAGCAGCCCAAGCCCAGGGACCTCAGCTTGGCTGAGGACACCCAAGACCACTTCCTGGTTCTCCCTCTAGCCAGAGCTGCTGGAGAAGGTGAACAAGCTCAGGCAGAGGGAACAGGGGAGGGACAAAGAGACCAGCACCCATTATGTCCAAGCACCCCTCCCTCTTTGCCAGGACACCGATTACAAAGGCGAGCAAGCTCCAGCCAGCACTGGGGTGTCCCACCCGGTGTCCCCAGCACGGAGCTGTCACCTCTCACCTCTATCCTCATGATGGTGAAGTCTGGCACGGGTGGGTCATAGAGGTAGACGTGGGGGTCGAGCTGGCTCTGTGCTGCCGGGAGGATCTTGGAGCTGCTGGGTGCTGGTGTGTAGTTGAGCATCTCACACAAGGTGAGCACATCGATGAACTTGGGGGTGAGCCCGGCACGCACCGTGTTGTCCGAGCACGCCATGATCTCCACGCAGTCTGCGGGGACGGGCAGTGCCATCAGCCCACGCCAGCCCCTCCTGCTGTCCCCACGGCCAGGCCCTGCAGGATGCCGGGCTAGGAGAGCCCCCTGCCGCTCACCTCCGTGCAGGTAGGCGTGCGGCTCGTTGGCTCCCAGGAACATGGCCTCGCCCGGCTCCAGCCTCACCAGGTTCAGGAAATAAATGGTGAAGCAGCCGATGTCCCCCGGGTACTGGGAGTGCAGCCGCAGCAGCAGCTCCCCGTTGCTCCCCGACGTGTCCTTCCCTTCCGCCACTGCGCAGGGACAGACAACGTGGGGAGGGGCTGGGCCTCTCCCTAAACACAGCCTCCCGAGCTGGTGTGGGGTGTCACAGCCAGCACCCACCTTCCTGGGAGATCCTCTTCACCAGCATGTTCAGCTGGTCCACGAAGAACTTCTTCTCGCTCTTCATCAGGCGGGTGAAGCACACGCGGAGCGCGGCCGAGACCCCGCGGGGGTCGTCGCTGCCGCTGCGCTCCAGCTGCTCCGCTGCCACCTCCCCGATCAGTGCCCGAAGCTCGGGGACATCTGCGGGGCCAGCCCCGCTCAGAGCCAGTCCCCCAGGCCAGGGGAGAGCAGCCCCAGGCAGGAGCAGCACCCCCATGCCAGGAGAGCAGAGTCACCATCCCCACAGCAAATCCCATCCCTGGGGAGCGCTGCCCTCACCCTGAACTCCATCCCAAGGGACCACAGCCCCCATCCACACCCCAAATCCTAACTCCAGGGAGCAGGGCCCTCATCCCCACCCTGAATTCCATCCCAAGAGAGCACCATCCCCACCCCAAACCCCATCCCAAGGGAGCAGGGCCCTCATCCCCACCCCAAACCCCATCCCAAGGGAGCAGGGCCACCGTCCCCACTCCAGGGTCTGAGCATGTGCCCTCCTCCATCCTTACTCTGGAGGAAGGAGACAATCTCCTCCACTGGCCGGAAGCCACACATGCCCTCGAAGGGGGTGAGGGCGATGGCCATTTCGGGCTTGTGGTTGGCATCGGGATAGTGCTCAGGGAACTGGGCGTGGAGCTTCGCTGCCAGCTCCTGAGAGAGGGAAAAGGAGCTGCTGACCGCCCCAGGGACACGGGGTCCGCCTGCGCTGCCCATGCCGGGCTCTCCCTACCTTGTTGGGGTGTGCCTGGACGGACAGGGCGGTGTTGACCGACAGCACCTTGAACAGGAAGGGCAGGCGTCCCTGGAAGGCGTCCTTCACCTTGGCCCCCAGGCAGGCGGGGTTGTCGGCGATCCACTGGCCCAGGGTCTTTTGGGGGATGCGGTTATCCCGGATGAGGGCATCGCCCCGGGGGTGTGTGCCCATCCACAGCTGCGAGACATCGACAGACAGGTGGCACCCTGAGCCGGGCAGCCGGCACGGATGACTTGGGCTTTTCCAGAGGCTGCCTGGCCCCGGAGGTGATTCCTGGCAGCTCCCTCGGGGGCTGAGTCATGCCGGGCTTCCCTCCAAGCCGGGCACCCCCCAGGGGACAGGGGACAGCTGAGGGTCAGCATCACGTCCTGGATGGTGGCAGCCACAGCCGCAGGGTGGGATGGACACACGGATGGGACGGAGACACGGACAGAATGGACACAGAGACACACTCACCTCAGCGTAGGGCTGGTCAGGCTGGATCTGGACCAGCGGGTCACCACTGGCCACCAGCTTGGCCACCTCGCTCTCCAGGCCCACCTTCCCCCAGGAATAGTTCTGCACCACGCAGGAGAGGGGGAACACTGCGGGAGGCAAGCCAAGTGTTAGCGAGGCACAGAAAGAACCCCTCAAATCCTTGCGGACACCCAAAGAGCCCCCGGGGCAGGGTTACAGCGTGTCAGCGGGGGAGAGGACCACGGCCTTGGGAGGGGACACTGTCTGTGGGGAAATTTTCAACCATCACACGGCGATCTGGGGGCGCTCGGGCTGGGGGCACGAGTCACGGGCCCTCCGCCCCGTCGCCCCGGGGGTCCCGAGGGGGGTCGCGGCGGCCCAGCGCAGAGCCCCATGCCCAGGCGGGCGGTGGGCGCCCGTCCCCGCTCACCCCGGATCTCCGCCATGGCTCGGCCGGGCAGGACCTGCCCCCCTCCCCTCCCCACCCCCCCCGCCGTCTATAAGCGCCGCTGTGACGTCACGCGGTCACGCCCACCGGGTTAACCCCGCGCGAGCTGTACGCGCCGCCGTGACGTCACGCGGCTCCCGGTCACGCGGGTGCCCCGGAAGCGCCAGGAGCGGCGGCGGCGGGAGCGGAGCAGGAGCGGACCGCGCCCATGTCGGGCTTCGACACCAACCCGTTCGCCGACCCGGTGGACATCAACCCCTTCCAGGTGGGCGCGGGCCGCGGGCGGCCTCCCCCCGGCGCGGCCCGGCCCGGCCGGGCCCCCGTGCCCCGCACGCCGGGACGTGGCACTAAGTGAAGCGCCGCCGGCCAATGGCGGAGCCGCTCCTCCGCGCCTCGGCCAATCAGAGGCAGGGGGCGGGATCGGGGGCGTGAGGCGGCCGCGACCCCCGGCCCTGAGGGCGGCCCGGGCCCCTGCCCGAGCCCGGGGGTCCCGCATTCCCGTCTGCCCGCGCCTCAGGTCCCGTCCCCTCCCTTCTCTGTATCCCCTTCCCGAGCCCCCCGGCGGTCCCGAACCCCTTCCGCAGCTCACCCCCGAGCGCTGCGTCCCCGCACCAGGCCGCTCCTCACCTCCAGGGGGGCTCTCCCACGCCGCAGGGAATGCCTGCCCTGAGGGCTTGTTCAAAACAATCCATCGCTGGAGCTCTCTCGGCCGTGCTGCCTGGTGGGCTGGCTGTCCGCTGCGTCTCTCTGCGTTTGTTTTTAAGGCGCTTCAGCGCTTAGAAGTGAGTTCCCGTGGCAAAGCTGTGGATTTCGTGGCTCAAAGCAGAGGAATCCTGTTAAGGTCACTGAGGACTTGGTCTGTGTTCGTTGGTTTCTCCTCTCCGGGATTAACCTCTGGAAATTGGGGTCATTGATGCAGGGAGCTGGGCTGGCACAGCCTCTGGGCAGTGCTGTGACAGGCAGGGTCTGGCCTTTGGCTCCCGTCTGCAGCTCGGCCTCACCTCCGCTGCTTGCCTGGGATGTGAGCCACGGGAAGGAGCGTTTTCCTGACCTTGGATTTCAGGGCTGAGCCAAACAGAAGTTGTTTGTTGATGAAGCTGAGTCTTTTGAGGAATCAGAGTGAAAAAATTCCTTCTCTTCTTCCCCACTTTCATTTTATCATGGTCTCATGACTCTCGGGAATGGGAAGAGTTGGGACGATCGTGTTCCTCTAATATTCGTTCTGGGGGATGGAATATTTTGCTGTTCATAGACATGGGATTTGTTGCTTTGGCTTTGAGGAAGTAAATATTCCTAGAATCACAGAGTGGTTTGGATTAGAAGGGAAGTTAAAGCTCATCCAGTCCCACCCTCTGTCATGGACAGGGACACCTTCCACTATCCCAGGGTGCTCCAAGCCCCATCCAGCCTGGCCTGGGACCCTTCCAGAGATCCAGGGGCAGCCACAGCTGCTCTGGGCACCCTGTGCCAGAGCCTCCCCATGCTCACAGGGAAGAATCTCCTAATATCCAATCTTATCTCTGTCAGTTTGAAGCCATTCTCTGTTGTCCTGTCACTTCAGGCCCTTGCAAAAAGTCCATCTCCATCTTTCTTGTCATCTCCCTTCAGCTGTCGTGGTATCTGGCAGAACAGGGCCGTGCTCACTCTTTA